GATTTATCCATTCTTCTGTGTGGGCTGGTAAATTATTGAAAAATAAGAGATCTGAAACCAGAGAATGAAAACACATCAGGGCTTGGGTCATTAGAGAACAAGTAATAACTGAGAATTAAATTAGTATTACCACAAAACATGAAGGCATAGAAGTATTTTTCACTAGTAACTGGGCATAACAATGAGTGAAAAACATGCATATTGTGAGGAAATACAGAAGGAAAAAATCTGTCATGGTGAACCAAACAAACTTCAGAGACAAGCCTCCATAAACAAGGGCTATAATTCACTCAGTGAAATTATTTAAACTTTAAATTAGAAAAGGCAAAAACCAACAAAACAAAACAGAAACCTCCTTCCGTTATTAAATTTTTGTTTTCTTTGTGTTATTTCTTATATACAGTTAATAAAATCAGGTGACAGCTAGAAACTGGAGTATGAGATTAACTATCCAAAGTGGAAAAAAAGGAGGGAGAAGGGACACACATGACACATACCAAAAAGAAAAGAGTACAAGAGAAGCAGTGCATGCAGAGGGCACAGCCTGAACGTTTGTTACACATCTAACTTGTATTCTCATTGACACAGACACCTTTAATGGTTTGGTGGGGCGGCAGGAAATTCCTGGAGACTGACACAGATCATATCAGTGTTAAAAACAACCAGCATAAAAGGACAGTACCGATTCCACCCGAGTAAATAAGTGCGTTTGATCCCTCAAACACCAAATATTGTCAAACACTTGTTCAGCATGCAGGGGAAGGACAGCTGGAAGCTGCAGTTTGAGCATCCCCACATGGATTAAAGCAAGCACACACAACCAGCGCTGCAGCTGGGAACTGTCTCAGCCTCCAAAGCTGCCCACGCCTGAGGAAGAGATGGAAAATGGCCCAAACTGTAGCACCTGTTATGCTGCACATGAAATCACAACTGCCAGGCTGTGGTTTTTAAACACAGGAAAAGCACATTTTCAGCAGCAATCACTGCAGTGGTGTGCAGTTTGCAGCAGCCACTACTAGCAGCTCTGCAGGCAGACGTGCAGGGCTCGCACTGAGCTGATGTCTGTGCTGAAGGTGTTGTGACAGTGACACAATGGACAGCAGAAGTGCCCAGTGCCAGTGCTTAACACTCAGGGAAGGGGAGCAGGCAGGGAAAGGGCTGCCATGGCTGCCCTGCACAGGCATGGGCCCGTGCTCCTTATCTGCCATATGACCAAGTCTTGAACCAACACAGAATATTTCCCCTTGCAATTGCACTCCTGCCTCCTTCTGAGACTGATTAGGGCATCACTGGGGCTGCTTCATGCCCCAAACTGCTCTGTCTGTCTCTTCACTAAATCTATAACCCTGAAAGGAGATTGGTGTCCTTCCTCCAGGAAAGAATTCCACATAAAGGAGAATCAGAGGGATCAATGAAAAGCTCAAACAGACAGAGGAAAGAAAAAGCAAATTACAGGTTCATACCCTCCCTCCTAAGGCAAACTCCTGGAAATGCCCTCCCAAAGCACAGGACAAACTGCACAATGCTGCCTGTGGAATATGCTGGGTCAGGTCAGCCACAGGAAAGGACCCAGCACTGCTCAGGAAACCAGCTGCACCAAGTGAGAATTTCCCAGTCTGACCAGGAATTGTTTTGCTCCTTGCATGCTATCATTAGGCCAACCCCAGTTCAAAAATAAGGTTTAGTGCAGCTTATACCTCATTGTACTTAAAACTGTGGTTTTCTAGAGTATGTGCAGTATCTACACTATTACAGGAGTAAATAGGATTCTGTAAAAAAAAGAAATTAAGTGTCTCAATAGATTTAGAATTGAGAACACAAAGAATAATACAATAAGAATTAAAAGGTTTATGTTAAATTTAAAACATCAACATTTCAAAGATCTGTATTGGACAATAAATAGGAAATTGGTATTTGACATGCTGTAGGTTCTGAATATATGCAAAAACAAAAAAGAAATGAGATATTAAAAGACAAAGAGCAAAATGAGCCATTACGTTGTTTCTATGGCTGCAGTTGCTAGTGCAAAACTACCTCAGAAAGAATATTCAACAAGAAAATAAAAGCAGGCTAGGAGAATAATCTAAATACAAAATATTTGTTTCTTAATTCCGAACTAGGAGGAATTAAATATGTTTATTGAAAGGACTACTTTAAAGACACAAACAAGAAGCAAAACAAAACTCTCTTGTTAGCTCCACTGGAGCAGAATTATTTGCATTGAGCAGTACTTGGTGTACAGAGCAGAGAACCAGTTCCAAGACATCAGCAGAGTTATTTCTGCTTAAGAGCCCTCTCCATGTCAAGAAGAGTACCAAAATGCTTCACGAGAATTTGCATTCATTCTATTCCAGGTTTGAGGAAACCAGATTTTATTTCCCATCCACAGCACACTGTCAGTTTTTATCACTCATACCCAGTTATGTAACAGAGTGGGGCTGACACAATCCGTCCCGACTTAACAGAACCTGCGCTGTCATCTGTAAAATCTGAAAAAGCTCTTCTCTAATGCCGCAGTGACATGAAACGTATTTTATTTTTAACATCAGCTTATTTTTTAAATACCTGGGGAAAAACCACAACAAATAAAATACCATTGACACCTGCATGCTCTAAACAGTACAACTGCATTACCATCATGGCCACTCTCCTGCACAAGGGGACATAAATTCCATACCAGTTCAGCTGACATTTGGGTTCTATGTATTAGTTCATGCATAATCCAGGGCCAAGGATCTAGGAATACTCATCAACAACAGCATCAATCACACATGGAAAACTCAGTTAGTAACAGATTTCCACCCCTTTTACTCCAATGTGACCAAGTACTTAGATCCCATCAACATCATACTAAACAGAATTTTGAAGTTTCTTAAAGTGAAACAAATGAGTATTTGCTCCCAAGGCTTGTGTATCTGCATTTATAGTTAATGTACTGACAGTCATAAAATTCATATATATATATGAAACTAAAGCCTTAATGTGCAAAGAGTGCATGCAGCATTTTGACACCCATTTCAGTCTGTACAGATTGCCAGAGTGCCCTTAATCTGCCACCTACTACCCTTGGTGATGGTGAAGTTAATGATGTCAGTGCTGCTGCTGAAGACACAGTACTACATGACCCCATTATAAGGAAAAAGCCAAAAAGAAGATTCTGCAAGGTACTTCTTCATGGGCTCATTATATTTCCCTAAGATTTGCATGAGGACATTTAATCAGCCAAATTGGCTCCTATTTACAGCTGCTAAAGGCAATCCATGTGAGAGGTGGTTCTGCTCTCCCTGGTAGCAAACCACTGCTTCAGTTCAGACATTTTTTGACACTACACCCAAAAGCAGGAGGCACCAGTAGAAGAGTCAGCAAGGAGCATAACAGCTTCTGAGCCTGAAAATGGCTCTGTTGTCCTCTGCTCTTCTCCTCATTTCTGTCTGGGGTTAGGTAACAGCACTCCCAACTCCCCACACAATTTACAGCAGCAGTCCTGCAAAAAAACCTAACTATTGACTCTACTGACACTCTCCCCCAGGTGAGACCAAGTGAGCAGAGGAGCCCAGTGCCCCCTGCCCCTCTTGTAGCAAGGGCCCATCCTGATCCTGATGTGGAAGTGCCACCTTGGCTGTCCCCTCAGGCTGCTGCCTGATTTAATCCTCTGCCTCGCTCACACATCTCTGCCAGCACAGCTGATAAAACATAGCAGGGAAGGGAAAAGAAAGATGTTTCTGGATGGCAACACAGTCCTATAAACCACTGCTTTAAAAGTAGACTGGTATGAAAATCAATCACTCAAGATAATCCTAAAGAAAAATTAAGAGAAAAGCAGAAAAGAGATAAAACCAGCACTAAATGGAAAAAATGTGGTAGAAAATAAATGGTGTACAGATACTTGGATATCACAAAATTTTAAAAAAAGGAGAAACTGAAGCAGAAAGTAACATTTCAAACCTGAAGTTATTTACAGACATGCTGGTTTTTTTTTAAAAATAGCAAGTGAGCATCTTTCTCAGCAATTCTCAGCTACACTGATGTAAATCCATTTTATTTAAAACTATGTTGGACATTGTGAATGTATCAATGCAAGTGTGTATTATAGGACTCACAGAGAGAAGTAAAATGAAAAGCAAAACTACTTTTAACTTCATACACATGAAAAACGCTCAATGGCCCCTGTTACTTTACAACACAGCTCACTGAGAGGTCTTGGTGTGTTCCATTTCAAAGCAGGCAGACCAGACAACAGCTTTTCATCTTTAGTTTCTGCCATGTTTTTCCTACTGATGACATGAACCATAAACCCCTGTCTAGCTTCTATCTCAAGACATCAAAAAGTAATCTTTGATCTTATTCCCATGAGTCCCCATTGCTTCTGAAGTATTTGATGTTAACATTTTGTTTATACAGCAATGTTCTCCAAAAATCCCCTTGAACACACAAAACCATGAAACAAGTTGAGTGTTTTGGTGGAGTATTTTACTAGAGGACTTGAATAAACTGTTAAATTCAGATCTGCTTATCATGGATGTTACAATACTTGGTTGGCAAAGATGTTTTGTTATCAACATCTGAAGTCTGAACCCAGGGATCTTTTGTCAGATCACTGTTTCCATAATCAGGAAAATGCTGCTGGCATCATTAGGATGTGCAGCTGTTTCTGGCAAGCTGCTTCCATGTGTGGCCACAAGTTATTTGCTACCCAGGACCTGAAAGCAAAATCTTTGAGTTTACCTTGCCCTAATTTTACTTTAGGTTTCACCACAAAACTTCAGTAAACTGCATGAAGCAACTGAACAGAACTGTTTGTGTGGCAATGGCAATACAAAGGAGGAAAACCCCAAACCAAGAAGCCCAACATTCAAATGCAAATCAGCCTTCAGTTCTAAACCAGCAAAGAATTGCTGGGATGACAGGGTACTACAAACTTTGAAACTTAACTAGGAAAAAATCCAGTAGTGATTATGCACAGAAGAACCATTTGCAACAGCAGTGCAGACTTCTCTTACCCTGTTCCTTGCAGATACATCTCCCACATGGATGGATTTGGGAATTTTTCTGTGGTACCACATTCTGCTTCCCCTGAAAGCCTGCTATGGACAGAGGGTGGGAAGACATGGCAAGAAAGGACTGGTTAGTGAAGGCTGGCATTAGCCTCTCTCTGACCTACAGAAATCAGATCCTTGCCTTGTGTGGCCAACAAACCCATCTGAATGAGAGTATTTGATTTTGTTACACAGCTGTAACTCGTAGTGCACACATTAGGATAACCTGATACCTTGGTGCATCACTTTAGGCACTCTCTGCCACCACCAGCATGAAATCTGACATATGTTATATACATGACGGGTCTATCAGCAAACTTTGGAGTTAATGGGAGGGCTTTTTCTGGCTTTGAGTTGTACCCACTACTTCTTAGGAGCTGATGTAGATGTACAGGGTCTGACTGTAGACACCTTGGAGGGGCTTGTTGAAAACAAGAAGTTTCTCCTGCAAACTTCTCACAATATAAATCTTTTTTTAATATGCTGATTTATTTCCTGCCTTAGTTTTTGCAACTTAGAAAGGTAAAACAAACAGACAATTTACCTACTAGATGAATGGAGATACCCTGGCTGGAATCCAAAATGGTATCAGTAACATCCCTTAAGCTGAAAGAAAATAATGCTCAAGGATTAATTTGATCTTCACTGTACTGAACCACACTGGCTCTTCATTTGGCAAAGTTCTTAAATTGGGATATTTATTACCATGTAATATCCTTATGACAACTAATTTTCCTTCCTATGCATAAGATTGTTCAAAGAAAAATGGACATTTTCTGCCCACACTGTGGAAGCTCTGGATTTTATTTAAATAAAAAAGAGGCTCCTAGAGCTGGTACACAAATCTCAAAGCCCATCTGAAGGGAAAGGTACCACCTTCAATACATTTCTAGTCAGCCAAAGATATGGATAGACAGACAGACAGATTTAATGTAGGTTTATTCCCTTATAGAAAACTTAAATTATTCAAAGCAAAAAAATCCAGGTTTTTTTGTTGGGGTGATTTTGGAAGGACAACACATAAGACTTAACATTATTTATAATGTTTAGCAAACTGCTTAAAAGCTTATTGATTGCCAATAGTTCACACAGTGACATTTCTGCTATAACAATTCCCAGAAAATGTAATGCTTCATGCATTGTGCACGTGAAGAAGAGATCAAAAGCACACTGGGTAGATTTTGAAAGCTTTATCTAGAATATAAAGGGGCCAAAAGTCTTTGGCAAAAGGACAGAGAAGAGCTATCAGTGAGACTGGCACATAGATTTCATTAAAAACTGGCAGCTCATTATTAGCCATTAGGTTCTCATAATTCTGATATTACATAGCCAGAGGAGACACAAGTTTGGAAATTACTTCTTATGCAGTTCTCTGGCTAACAACTGCTCCAACTGTGACTGGACAGAAGCATTACTTTTATTTCTGGAGTAGAAAAACTTTAGGTTACATCAACATCAGAAGGGCAACTCCAGCCTGGAGGCATTGTAACTGAAGGTAAGAGGATATGGAGTGAACACACACAGATCACTTGGATTCCAGTGCAGCACAGACAAAACAGTGAGTGGCAGCATGCAAAGAAACAGGGCTTAGAAATGCAGAACTCCACTAAAATCACTGCAGTCATTTCAGGCAGATGCATTCAGCCATAAATTTAGACCCAGGAAATTGAAAGGGAAGAGGAAGTTATTCTGTTAGAAAATCCTTCAACGATTTGACTTCCCAACAGCAAAGATGCTGTAAAACTGTGTACTGACATTTACAGCTTGCACAAGATTAATTAAAGCATCAGGAAATAAAACTCCATAATTAGTCCTGGAAAAGCCGCAGGTGCCAAACTGCTATTTACAGACTGAGGGGATGTAATATTTTAAAATTAAAAGTTGTTATGCATCAACTGCAAGGAGACAGAAGGAGAAATGCACAGCTAGCTCAAAGAAAATAACACTCAAGCATCAGCAAAAAGATAACTGAAACTTTGATAATGATAGTTTTGTTAACCTTTTCCTGGTATTTTGATAAAGAGAACCCACCAGTTCTAGAGGGCTAAAAGCTTTTCTGAAGTTATGACCACCTCCTTCCCATCTTATTTTCTTAATGTTTGTCTGCAACCATTACCCCTGGCCATTTTTTAAATATCTGTGCAGTGTTCTGGAATAATGTCTCCACTTCTACCAGTCAGAGGGATGGAAGAAATGTCACCCATAGAAACACCTGTAGCAGGTTTATTTTATTTCTTTCCCTTCTCTGCACTTGGTGCAATCTTACATAAGATAAACATTCCCTTAGACTTAAATATTTGGTGCTTTTGTGGCTCTTGGGATTTGACTTTTTTGGGTTTTTTTTTTCGTTTGGTTGGTTGGTTGCTTTTTGTTTGTTTGTTTTAATTTTGAAACTAGGACATCCTTAGAGCAATCTGAGTCACGAAACTTAAAAATTCATCTGATAGTGGAGTCTAATCTTTTTGCCCTCTACACAAATTTAATATTAGATGCCTTATTCTTTGAATAAGAATGCTTCTGGGTTTTGTGCACAAACCACTCCTGCTGCTACATCCTCAGTGTGCTTTTCTACACTTACTGATCTTGTATGTTGGATTTAGGCAGAAAAATGGCTACTTCAGGGATATTTATCAGGCTTAGCAGTGGGATAAGCAGAAGATGGTCCTTAATGCCAAGCACAGCTCTACACATGCACAGAAGCAGAGCTTGGAGTTGTACATGCAACTTCATACTTGCTCTTCAACTTCAGTCTTTTCATTCTGTTAAAGTTCATTTTCTACCTGCACCTATTCTTTGTGTCTCAACCTGGCTGTAAAAACGTGCTCATCACAGAAATAGAGATAAGAATAATGCAATTAAGAGAGAGAAGCATTCTGTCTTTGAGAAAGAATAATATGGAATTAGTGCTGTGGATGGATTTGAAAGAAAATTACAGTAATTAAAAATTGTATTAACTTGCTGTATTCTACATAATGGTTCTGCAGCCATGACTGCCTTGTTTGGAGCCTCATTTTCTTATTTTCTATCCATATTACTCATTATTTGTGCTATCTATTTACACAACCTATAATGTCAGCCACTCTAATATAGATAAACACCTTGCCTAACAAGGTGTGAAAGAAGGGTAGGGGAATGCAATATCCCCACGAAGGAAAATTCTTCAAGGTGTCAGCAAGGACAGCAGTCATTTATTTAGGACAAAGTCCATAGTCTGGACAAAATGTTACTACTTCCTTTTCAGGTCATATCCAACTTCCATGACTAATTCCTAAAGCCAGTTACTCCATTAAGATTAAAAATAAACTGTTTTAAGGCAGTAAAACCCCTGGCACTCCAGTTAACTCCCAGGTGGGCTCACTGAGCACAGGTACTCTGCACTGGCACTCTCACCTCATTCCTTGCTTGTGTGTTCTGGAGAATGCTCATTTTTTTCCAGCAGCTGTATTAATCATTTGTACATCTGACTACCAAATATGAAATCTGACAGCTAGGAAAGCCTAAACATTTCACTCAGTGTCTTCAAAACACTTTTTCAGAGCTTCATAAAAATGAGTTCTTCCAGACTATTTGGTGAGCACTGTCAAATAATACTAAAATATTAAATACTATAATAATACTCAAGTAAGTTATTTTTTCTTTAACTATTCACATATTCTTGATGTTAGACTTATGTGAACTTTGTAGACTAAAATAACTTCTACAACTTTGAATTACTAATTATTTAAATTGAATTGTCTGGAATGAGTTGGCTTCATTACTTTGAGACATGGATCACTGTCTTTGAGTAGTAGGTCTTGAATTCCAAGCTTTTCAAAGTGAAGAGTTCTGCTGTAATCTAAAGCACAGCAGGTATACTTTTATCCAAATTACTTGAATCACCATGGGAAAAATTTAATGAGGGTTTGTCACATGAATTAGATATTTTAAGTTTAGCAAATCCAGAATATTCTTGCCTTGATTATGCAGCTTTGAGAGCCAGTAGCATTCTCCACTACTACCACTGCTCACCTAAGCAAAAACCAGAGTCACAATCCACTCTTTTGAACTCATTCAATTCCTGTCTGAGAAAAGCAGCAATCTAACACTTGTCAGAAGAAAAAAATTTATGCCTTTTTAAAATACAAGATTCGGAAAAAAACCCCCAAAATGAAACAAAACCCTAAAGACCTCCCCCAAAACCCAAAAGTACAGAAGGAGTCCAGAATAGCAACTTGGCAATAATAAATGAAAATGCAAGGACAAAGTAAGCACCTGCTAATGGAAGAGAGAGAAGACACTCAGGGTTTTTTTGCCTGAAAGCATGCTGGACAAAGAAATAAATTACTAATAGTAAAGAATGAAAATTTATTTACTTTGAAGAATGTTATTTTTCAAGCTTTGTATCTTTTCAGCAATTAATCATGACATCTGCTTATTTCCATACTCCCCATTTATTTCTACTAAATTAAAGAGAGTGGTTGAAGCAACATCCATTCTATTCTTACATAGTGTCTGCATTTATGATTTTGTCATGGCAGAAATTTTGCACAACATATAGAACTGGGGAAAAGCCAAGATATTTAACTATTGAGGAGATTTCTGTTGCTAGAACCATTAACCAAATGAAATGTGGGGCAGTAGTTATTGAAGCACAAAAAAAAAAACCCAACCCAAAAAACCCCCAACCAACCAACTCCATATATCTTTATTCCTTTCTACTAGCTACAAGAACTTTCATTCTACTGCACCTAAAATGTTGCTACCAACATATAGAGAGATTTGTAAACACCACCTTATGGAACCTATCTAGTGAGACTTACATATTTATATAGCTGAAAACCAACCAGCTTGCCAAGGCAGTAAAACACCACGTATATACAAAGTAAGAAAAATACAAAGACTGTTACCTAGGACGTTTCCTCAGTGCTGCTCTTTGCAGAATGATTGGAAAAGCTCCGGCTGGACGAGTAGGAGCTGCAGCCCGTGTGGGATGGAGGAGCTGCACACCTGCCAAAGTCACCTCGTCAAACACTGAGCTGGCACCACGGCAGAGGGAAAGCCCCTCAGACCCGCTGTAGGGCTGGTTTCTCAAGAGATTAAATGCTAAAATGGACCCTGGGAGGAAGGGGCCGCTAACGGGAGCTGGTTTGAGCCTCGCCCAGCCCCTCCAGGGCCTGCCCGCACGGGAAGGTGTGAGGGGCCGCTCCCCGTCGGGGAGCCCGAGGGAAGTACCGGGAAGCGGGAATTTCCTCTGGGACCCCGGTGCGGGCAGGATAGGACAGGACAGGACAGAGCCATCCCTGTGCGGGCACGGCAGGACAGGGCAGAGCCATCGCTGCTGTGCCCGGGACGGGCTCTCGGCTGAGGGGCAGGGCAGGGCAGAGCCATCGCTGCTGTTCCCGGGACGGGCTCTCGGCTGAGGGGCAGGCGGGCGCTCCCCGCACCTGAGGGCAGGAATGGCCCCTGGAGGAGCAGGGGAAGCTGCTGCTGCCCAAAGCTGCCCCTCCGTGTCGGCTGCCATAGGTTCACTCTTCTCTCTGGGGCTGTGCTCCCATCTTAGGCGGTGCTTTGGGAAAAGCTCGAGAGAAGGTGCTCACCTGGGAGTCTGGGGAGGGAGCCGAGCAGGCCTGCCCTGAGGGTGGCCTTACTTCAGCCTTCTCCTCACACATTCCTGGCCTAAAGAGGGTGAGGAATCACTGAAGGGATGAGGAGGAATTCCCGTTTTTCCCCGGTGATCTGAGGAAGCGCCTTGAGGAGAGGGAAACATCCATAGGATGGAGGTGGGTGCCAAGCAGGGGAGGAAGGGGATTCCCAGCAGAGATGGAGCAGGGAGGAGGGACAAAGCACCACAGGGCTGTGAGCTCCACAGGACCTTTCTGAGGAGTGTAGGGATTGGGAAAATGCAAATTATAAAATACCTGTGTACGGTTTATGTAGAGAAAAACAAGTAGAACAAAATGTAGGAGCACTGGTGCTTTAAGACAGATGCTCTAAATTGCTGTAATTCCCAAAAAAGGTCAATGTTTGTGCTTTATTTTTGTACACTCCAGGAAAGAAAAGCACTTAACATATTTCATTTAAAGGATATAAACATATAACTAAGAGTATTTGAGTTATTTAACTTAAATATCAGTTTCAGAGATGTTCATGAGCATAACTTCTTTTCAAAATTGGCTATGGCACCTTCAAACAGTGTTATCAGACTGTAATTGCCAAAGCTTCTTGTGAATGCTTACAACAGGTTTTACTGAATCAAAAAGGTTTATACAGTTCTTTAATATCAGCTGCTATGTGTAGACATTTGTGGTTGCAACAGATATAATAATGTGGAGATTACAAAGCTGTAAAGGAGTAGAACTGAGCAAATTGGAAACAATTAGAAAAAAATTGCATGAGATTATTTGGGTCTGTATTCAAACCATGTTAAGGGTGACTGATATGTAATTTTGGATCAAGAATGGACTAGCTTGGTCTTTTTAATAGTCTTAATGATCTATAAAAGTCTATCATTTCAACCATTTAAATTAACTTGAGTGTGCTATCATTTGACAGCAAAGAAATTATGCTAATAGGATTATTGTTCTATTAAAAATGGTGCTAATTTGAGGCTTTAAGAATACAGATGTACAACTCAAATGTTGTGTTCTTGTTAGCCATGCAGTAGAACATGACATAAAGTAGGTATTTTGTCATTGTCAAAACCAAAAAGGCTCTAGTGAACAATAGATTGCACATCTTCTCATTATGGGAGGGACCATACTTGTCAGCAAAACAAAGTGACTCAGAAAACATTAGTGGATAAAAGTAATAACAGAAAACTGAAGGAAAAAGGGGGGAAATGTGATTCTCAGCTGTGGTGTTATTTGCTGGAAACCAAAGCTGTCAAGCTACCTCACATATAAAAAGAAAATTCTGATATGAATGGGTTGCTTCTGCCAGCACAGAAACAATGCAGGTAAACTGTTTGTGATGCCAAAGATTGATTAATTTATTTCCAGCTTATAAAAAACCAAAAAGATTGTGTCTGAAGGGGTAAGAAGGAAAATGCAGCCAGGTCTGTAGTGATAAAGGTGCTGGAGATCAGCTTCAAAAATCAGCATCTTGAAATGGCACAACCACATTTGTTTACTGATACCTGGAAAATAGCATATCCTTTCAGGGGTCATTTAAAAATGTCTTTTGCTTTGTGGGGAATATTTTAATATCAAGAAATGAGCCAGAAAGTAATATTCATTGTGTGCTCATCAGTATTCTAGCAGAACCTTTCATGAATCTCTTTTAATTTATCAAGCAATAGAACAGTTTGAGAAAAGTGTATGCACTAAATATTTTCACAAAATTGTAACCATGCTAGGGCAGTTCTGCTTTAGTTCTGTTCCAGGCTACTGACATTTAGTGCTTCTCCTTGGATAAGTGACCTGTTTTAATGAGCTCTGACTGCAGCAAAATTCACATTGTTTTTCAAGAATGAGGAGAAGGGTGTGCTCGTGTGGCCACTCTGTGCTCATCCTTGTGGGATGTGCTGGCCCATCCCTGGGGAAGCTGAGGATCAGGGTGTCCACACTCGTCACGTGGAGCTCCAGGTTTTAGCACTTTGTCATTTTTAACACTGGATAGTTGTCTTTTAGGAAATAAGGAGAAATATCCTTTAATCCTGGATGAGTTGTCTGTTTCAGATTCGTTAGCATCTTGATACTCTTGCTTCAATAAAACCTTTTTCCTCATGATGAGGTTTTATGTGCACAAATCCCACTTTTACAATCATGGGATGAACATGCTGCACCCCATGTGTGGAGTATATTGCTCAGTTTGTGCTGGGGGTGTCTGACAGCCACTGGGCATGAACATACTGCAAAAACTCAGGAGTCACTAAAGCCACAATTACTCTTTATTAATTTATCAGAAATAGTTTTACATTATTGGGAAATCCTGTTTGGCCTCCCCTAACAGAAAGGTTTTAGACTGTAATCCCGAGTTATGTTAAGGTGTGACAGTTTTGGCTCCAGAAAAACTTTTTTTTTATAGCAATATTTCCAGAGGAGAAGTTGTTTTGCATAGTAAAAATTAGGTCTGGGCATCCTGTTTTTCCCTGGGATCTGGGAATAATTCAAACAATTACCCCAGTGATAAACAATTTTCTGTCTGATGGATGAGCTGTCTTTAGGTAATGGGACTGTGGGATTCCTTTCTTTAACACTCTGTGCTGCAGTTCAGCAAAATTTAAAGATGCTGGCTTGTGAAATTTTTGTGTAGAAATTCTATTAAGTGAATGAGTGCTTTGATATTTTACTTGTTTGAAGTTATAGTCTTGCTTTTTGGATTTATCATAACTTGTGCCAGTCTCATATTTACCAGTTTAATCAATAAAGCCAGCAGCACTTTGATGTAAACAAGATGACCTCACTATTCAGTACTGGATTTTCCCTGCCTTTTGACAGAGACAAGGCATATTTATATTAATTTTTCTCTTTACATAAGCCTATCCTTTCCTACCATTTCTTAGCTCCAGGCATTCAACTCCTGAACCAGACATTTAGAACTTAAAACCAAGGCTTGGGCCTGCAGTTTCTAACCTCACTTGGCTTTTCCCTGCTGTATTTCCCTCTCTTTGATGCAAGGAATGCTCTCAAATAACTTCACTCTTGATCCAGGTTATTTTTCTTAACTTTCTTTGATCAATATGGTGGAACAATGCAAACAAATGAGGGAACCATGAGGAGTCTGTCCTTTTTCTTTAATGTCAAAATACTTTTTCTGCCTAAACATTTAATGGGTATTACATAAAATCAGGAGATTTTTCTGAAGACAAATGAAAAACTCAGGGGGGAAAAACCTGACAAAGTGCCTAATTAATACATCACAAATAGATAAATACAATGCAATACTTCATCTTGAATAAAACTTATTTGCTGTATTTCCCTCTCTTTGATGCAAGGAATGCTCTCAAATAACTTCACTCTTGATCCAGGTTATTTTTCTTAACTTTCTTTGATCAATATGGTGGAACAATGCAAACAAATGAGGGAACCATGAGGAGTCTGTCCTTTTTTTTTAATGTCAAAATACTTTTTCTGCCTAAACATTTAATGGGTATTACCTAAAATCAGGAGATTTTTCAGAAGACAAATGAAAAACTCAGGGGGAAAAACCTGACAAAATGCCTAATTAATACATCACAAATAGATAATCTTGAATAAAACTTATTGTTTGCTTCAGTCTTCAGTGGCTTTAAGACTATTTGGAAAAATCTAGGTGTAATCAAACTGCCTGAAAAATGTCAGCTCTTCCAGGAAAAAAACCCCAGTTATTGTTATCAGATTTCTTAGAATTATTTCACTCAGAGTAGCACTGTTTGCTTTGCTGAATTCTAAGGATTGCTCAGTCCTCAGCAGTGAGTGGGTACCTGATGAGGAGGAGGAGTGCATCATGAGATGCAGCACTTGTAACGGAGTCATAGCAAACATCTGCATGAAATCAGAATTTAAATCTGTTGTTCGTGTAGAAGGCCATTTTGGATACTGTGAAAAGAAAACCAATCCACTGAGAAGCAAATCTGAAGTGGCACAGGAGCCACACTGATTGGTATAATTTCAAGTCATTTCAAAGCACGAGGACTCCAAACCAGCTTGTTCTCAGTTCCTGTTGAATCCCCTGAAGCAGCGTCAGTCCTCAGGCTTGGCAGGCTCTGAAAGCAGTGGCACCTAGGGTGGATGGAATGAATTGGAGATATCAACCTTAATTAGGAATTTTCTTGCTTTTGTGAATATTGTTTTTGTTTAAAGAGATCCCTGCTACTCTTGCATCTGTAAAGATAACTGTTGATTAGAGTTGTAAGTACTGAGGAAAAGGACATTTAGCACAATTTTTAATTGTCTTATTCAAGTTCTTTTTTGAAGGGATTTTGTCAGAACAGCTAGAGAGCTGAACAAAGAATGCATCTGAGCTAAATTGATGTCGTGCACATTGATTACAATTAGAAAACTTTGTGGCTAGCATATATTAGTTGGGACTTCTGCTGAAAATGATTTAATGTGAATCATTTATCAGTAGCAGTATATTTGAATTCTGTTGAACAATTTTCTTGATGTACAAAGATTGGCATCCTTAATGTCTTAGCCATATGGAGCACATTATCCTTAGAGAATGATGTGCTTTTTGTATGTTAGTATGTATGGTTTGTATTGATTTTTTTCAAATTGTTTTTGTTTTGCATTTTTTTTTGGTGGTTGGATTTTTAAAATTTATTTGTTTTGTTGTTTGTCTGGGTTTTTTGTGGAAGTAGACCACCTGATCACTTTGTTGCAAGTACTTTTACGTTTAAAGCCTTTATTGCTGGAGAACTTGCAGAGGGAGTTAATGAAATAACATATTTAATGCCTGGCAGTAAAGCTAAAGTCAGAATTGTCAAAGATAAAGCTTTAACTATCAGGGTGACTGCCAAAACAGGATTGCTGAGAAGCTGGATGGTCTGGCTTGGTGTCCAAACCACACTTCTACAAACACGACTATGGCATCTGAGGG